GAAGATGTGTCTTGCTTTGTCTGGCCCCAGTATAGGTAGATATCTATGGGGTATTGAAAAGGCAGAAAATACTGAAGAAAGGAACAAAACTATTCTAAATTCTGTGATCTCTTTGGGCTCCCTAGGCTAAAATTCTTAGAAACAGCATACATAGTGAAGTAGCTGTTTCTTTTTTATTTAATTTGTTTTCTTCAGTTTAAGTGAATACATTCAATGATAAGATGAGCTTAGGAGTTTTTTTTCAGGGGAAAAAAAAATATTTTAAAATATGAATTCAGTTGATGGTCAAAATTTCTTTTGCTTAGTTGAAAATGTTTTTGGATAGTTGTTTTTTCAACTGTCTGGCATATTTAAGGAGTTTTTTTAATTTGCAAACAATTCTTTTCCCCGGCACGTGGAAAAAAGGTATATAATTACTTCAACTCAAAACCAAGCAATTGCTCAGTCTTTGTAAAAGAAATTGTTGTTTAAGAGAGACTAGATGCAGAGAACTATTTCATTGAGTGACTGGCTTGGAACAATGGGTTGTTTGAAGAAATTCTGAAACAAGAAACAATTTTAGCTACAACTGGAAAGTTCACAACCCTGCAGCTTGGTTTTGTGTTACGTATGTAAATTCTCGTTCTCTCAATGCAATTACAGCATAAGAGTTGATTTGGTTTGCTGGGGGGCTCTGATTACTCTCGAGCTGATAGCCGTTCACATCTAAGGCTAAGGTGGTAACTCACTCTAGGACATTTTGTGCTCAGTTTTAAAATAATGTGGTAGGCATAGACTGTGAATGACACATGCAAATTATCAACTTCCATTATTGTTCTGAGTGTTAGCCAAATTTTTTCAATTTTATTGTTTTGCTTGTGACAAACACAGTTGGTGATAAATGATAATAATGCTACATTTTTCAAGGCAAGGAAGTACATCATGTTCAGGCATCAAACCTGTTCTTTTTCTATTTTAGGGGACTAAAAGCACACAAATAGCCCCTTGTCCTCCCCCCCACCCCCTTCTATTTTTTAAATATAACTGGAACATCGGGGTAGGATTTATAAGTATGGTAACTCATTCCTCGGGCATCCAGTTTGTGTACCAAAAACGAGTTTTTGACGGACTTATAATTTTGAGAGTAAAAAAAATGCTGGACTTCAAAACTTTCCCCATCCGCCATTGTTTTTACAGTGTGTTTTACCATGTTTTTCATTTGAACATTTCATATTAGATTTGGTGCTGAAATAAGAAATTTAAACGGTTGCCTGAGCCCAGGCTGTGGGAAGAGGCAAGCTTGGTAACCAAGGAGTGCAGTTAATTGTAACGGGTCCAGCCGACAGTTGCATTACCAAGATGTAGCCCTGTTCAGCTCATGCTTTGAGGAGCAATTGGGAAGATACAGTGACCCTCTTCCCTCCGTTGACTGTGGCCCAGGGCTTCCTTGCCTCCACCCGAGCAGTCGTGCATGGGACTGGGGTTTGGGCTGTGCCTGCTCCTCTTCCGGTTATTGTAAGCAGTGGTATTGATAACTGGTGCAGGGATAAAACATTTTTCCCTATAAATGCAGTCACTGCTTTTAATTTGTAAAAATGCACGCAAAACTTTTAAATCCATTTTGTTTCAAAATAATTTTCTCCATATGGCACCAGTGCTTTGTGTATATTTTTGGTATCTTTTTCCTTTTTATCTTTATGACTAAATGTGCATGTGTTTAAGGTTTCTCTAATCTAATCTGGTGGTGTTTTTCTCCCATGAAATCTTGTTGGTGGTTCTGTAGTTATTGCCACAGTAACATCTGATGAATCTCACTTCAGAGGGAAGAACAGGCAACGGGAGGAGACAAAATGGTAATAGATGAAAGAAATCCTGCCACCTTATGAAAGTTGCATGCTATTTATTAATTTATTTAAGAAAAGCTTAAAAAAAAAAAGTATGTTTGCATGTGATTCCCAGTGTGTCCTAGGAGCTGGTGTTTTCTAATGCATTACACTGAGGGTGTGGAGATCCCTGAGGCTGAATCCTAGCTCAATTTAGGGCATGTTCAGATGGTGGAAGCAATGTTCTGTGTTCCTGCTGCGAGGACACGCTGGCTGGCGTCTCTGAGAGAGATCCAGGCTGATGAGAGGCGCTGGGGTTAAGCCATGGGCATGGAGAACCCGCAGTGCGGGCTGTGCTGGTGCAGCGGGCAGGGGGACCGGGAGCCACCGAAAGCGTGCGCGTGGTCAGGAGAGCCCAGGATGACGGTGAAAAACTGTATGGCCGAGCAGGAGCAGCCCAGCAACGCGCTCTTCTGCTGACTGCCTAAAATAGATGTTCTACCCAGAGGGCTCTCTACGGATGATGAGGGTGTGCCCAAATCATTCCTAGCGCGCCCTGAGCCTTGTCAGCTGTCAGACGACATTATTTGGGTTTAAATTCCTTCTCCTGTTTGAATTATCATCTTCTCTAATGATGCAATATGTTATGAATATTAAGCGTGTTAGTCAACTTCTGACTCCTGTTCTCGAAAATCTGTGACCCAGGTAATGAGCTAAGATCTTAGACTTCTGGGATATGGAAATGGCATACAAAGCGGTTTGTAACTCTCCATCAGAGATAGTGCAAAGACAGTCAGCTGTACTTCTTGGTAAGGAGTGCTGTTTACTGTGTATTTGCACAAAGTGGTCTTCATCCAGCAAAAATGATACTGAAATGGTAAAGCGGGCAGCAGACGGTGGTACCTGCACTGGGAGGTGTGCGGAGGCTCCCTGGGGCTGAAACGGGCAGGGAGCAGCTTTCAGCTTCCTTCGTCCCAGGGACTGCAAATGCGGCTCCACCTTTGAAAAGTGCCCAGTAAAATCACTACATGCGTCTTCTATACGAAGACGACCTCTCTAGTACGAGACACGTTGTTTGTTAAAAGTTCTTTTTGGTGGAAATACCATTTGTAGACTTCAGCAATTGTCCATATTATCAGGACTCTGCTTTGCCGTGCTGGAGTCCATCCTGTGAGGATGAGTATTTCAGGGCTGTTTTCCTTAATACGTGTTTTGAACAAACATAAACGCACTGAGAGCTGTGTATAAAGTTATGACTTTGGGGATGTATTTTTACAACTTGTCTGCTGTCTTCTAACAAACAGGGGATTAATTTTGTTGTAAAACCTTTAAAGTAAATCCAAGAGAACTGGTATCCAACTGCTGTCCCATGGTTTACACTAAAATCTCCCAACTGTTTGTGTAACATAGTTTGTTATGTAATTTCTGCAATAATGTACAGACTGTGTGAGCTGCCAGGTGTCTTTTTGAAAGATCGTTTCCAGAAAACAACATTCTCCAACTTGTTAGTTGATTTCTGCAATTTGACATATACTTGAGAACTTTGCAATAGTTTATATCACGGAGCCTGAACATGCAATAAAAGTTATTTATCAATAATTGACCAGAGTATTGTGTTCACTTAATTCAGATTTTATTGAAATTTGACAAAATTTTCTTATTATTTAGAATACAGGCTGAAATCATATGTGTAGTTGTTTGTTTTTTTTTTAATTTTGAGCCTGTGAAGAAGTCTGGCTGACATCACTGAGCTCATACACGTAGTTAATTAAATACGTGTGTGTGTATGTACATGTGTGCATGTATCTACATATGCAGGGATTCTTCCACAGTTGATGCAATAGTGTTAGCTGAATTTAATAACACCCTGATTTAAGTAGCCTCTGTGACTACTGTAAAATACATACAAACGTAGCAAGCAAAATTCTGCTCCATCGTTGTTGAGGGCATGGCTGGTAAGCAACCGTGTCACGTTAGTGCCTCGAGGAGGTCTGTTGGGTTCCTTTAGGAGCTGACGTGAACCCCTAACTTCTGCAATGGGAGTCGTTCTTCAGCTTTGCAGATGGGTGCTTAGCCTCTAGTCCAGTGAGCATTGTATAACTCTTCACTACTAGAAAAGTTTTTTAAATTTGTATAGGCCTAAGTGTTTAAAAGAAACAAAATAACCATAAAGACTTTATGCATTTATGTGCTTGCTCTTACAAAAGATGAAAACCTAAATAAACTTTTCAAGCAGGTTTTAAAAAAAAAAAAGTTGTGACGCATCTAGCTTGATTCAATCCTCATTCACCTCAATTTGCAGTAGCCAAGGCACTGAGATGCTTTTTTTCCTTTGTCTAAGAAAAGCATCCATTAAAGTTTTAAATTAATTATTTTAATTAAGAAATAAATAGCTTTATAAAATACGTCTTTCAATGGTCAGTTGTAGTCTTTTCAGAATATGTGATCAAACCACAGAGCAAAAACGTTTTACTTCAGGGGCAGATAGCAGCTGAAGACTGTTATGACCCTGTGCAGCGTATGCTTTCGTCTCTTTTCTAGATTGTGCCTTTTCTTCGGAAGGTAGGTTTGACAAGGAAAACTTGCTTCAACCGGCTCAAAATGAGCCACCTCTGTTCGTGTGATGAGTTACTGTGGTGGCTGGCAAAGCATCTGTCACTTGGCTTTTATCTGGATGTGCTGACAGTCTTGGCAGGTTGGGTTTTTGTCACTACAATTTCAACGTTAAGGTTTTTTCTTTGATGTTGATTTTTTTTTTTTTTTTGTTATGGTCAAAATGTAAGCTTACACCTAAGCCTTGAGTTTTGGGGTTGAAAGCACCTTTACTCTTTGAAATGTTGTACTTTACCCACCGAAGTATCTTGCAAATCCTCTTCAGAGAAATTGTCTGGTGCCTGTGAATATAAAGCTATTGTAGTTACCAACAAGCAGACCCGAACAGAGAGAATTGTCTTGTATGTTAAATAATGACAGTGAGACCCAGTAATAACTCTGAAAATTACGTGATGCAGAGCCAGAACTTTCTGGACTGTGCTGTTAGTTGAAATTATTTCTTGTTGGTTGAAATTACTTCTCGTTGCCAGTGCTGCGTGGAGGGGTCTGTCTCATCTACGGATTCTAGTGCCTTTGCTAAGTGGAGCCCTGCTTTGCTGTAGGTGTTACTAAAATAATTTACATCTGTTTTATTTTCCCCTTCAGCTCCAGTTCAGACATTTTGAGAGATCCTCAAGGGTCTGAGACATGTTCAGCGTCCTCTGACAAGTAAGTAGAATATGTGGGTGGAAAAGTCCTTGTGACTGATTTATGTCAGTAGTTTCCAGTTTGTGGAATCCTGTTCGTTTTCTGCAGGAGAGGCAAATGTCTCTAAAAAGTCAGGTTCTTGGTGAATCTCCACAGTTGTGGGAGATACAATTTGGTCAGTGGTTTTGGATCCGTGGAAAATAATACCTGGGTGCTCCAAGGATCCACAGATGACTGGTTGAAAATCATTGTTCTAGGGTATATTTGAGTATTAATATATATTTTAAAAAAAGAAAAAAAAAACCGAGGGAACTGGTATTTATGGAAAATTAAGAGACTCTGATTTTCTACTGTATTTAAAGTTACATTGTTGTCAATCTTACCTACATCTCTGCCAAGTTGAACGTGCTGGAGTTGCAGTATCTGTTTTGATTTACTTCTGTTTGAAGAGAGAAGAGCACTTTCTTGTTTTTAAAATCTTAACATCTTATTTCTTAAAACCAAAAATCTCCTTCTGTTATATAGCGATAATATTTAAAATTCGGGTCTAGTTGTGCAAGGTGTTGTACTAAGAAACCATCCAAGGATTCCTGAAGTAATCCAATGAAATGCGTGAAGATGGAGAGGAAATACAGGGATATATGGGGGCGTTGAAGGTGTGCAGTTATAGTGAAATTTGGAATAGTGTAGTGTTAGATCAGATGAAAGCTTCGTAGTTATACAAATAGGAATGAAGACTGTTGGAGTCTGCAAAAGTAGGTACAGTTTACCCTTGCAGTTGAAATTGGCTTGATCTGGGATCTCTCTTCAAATATCACGTCCACTTTGGTAGTTGATCTTAGGGGCGTGATGAGAACCATATTGCATTTAATTCTCTTAGTCTGCTTTTTAAAGAGTATTTATGACACAGTTTTGTCTATTATCCATTACATACATATGTGGCCAATAGATTGTGACAGCTCTTAAAATTCGTGATTAATGACAGAAATAGCATTTGTAACTCTTAAAATGTGTGTTTAGATAATCTAATGGATTTTAAGGAGCTTTAATGGAAGCACTGATAAGACCTTGATTACAGCGGTGTCAGAGGTCAATGGGGAGCACACCACTGGAAAAACAGCAAGTAATCATAAAGCCTTTCTTGTAGAGGGAGGCATCACTTTGGGAAGGTGAGCGGTGTTCACTGGAAGGACGCTCACAAGCGCACTTTATTTTGTAGTACCTGGAAGTGACTCATTGAGACGGGCAGTAAAGTAAAAAATACTTGGTTGTACGTATTGCAGATGCTGCTCTGTTCCCCTGGTGATGGTCTTCTGGTGCTGCTGCCATGTATCAAAGAGTAAGCAGCCACAGCTATCTTTCACAGATGTTTTTAGATCTGCTACAAGATTTATGCATGACCCTGATAAACAGGGGTTAGGGATCATGAGATCAGGGATCATCTAAAGTCCTTGGTAACCACCTCATTGCGTAATTATCAATTACCTGTGAAGTATTATATCTCAGCTGGCTATTTCCTAGTGAATTAGATAGCTAGGAATTGGGCTCCTGAATAAAAGTCAATGCATAAGGATTTGTGGCTCTCAATTGTGATCAAAACAGGAAAGGTGGAACTGTGGCTACCAGAGCTGGAGGGCGAGGGAGCCAGCCAGCAGCCTGCAGCTCCCTGCGTTGCCTTGATTAGATGCTTGAGGCATGAAAATGCACAGCAAGAGATGGAGAAAACGGGTGTCTTTCCCTTTGAGTGCATCCTCTTCTGTTTGGAGAGGAGTGAAAGACGTGGGTGAAGAATTCAAGACAACTGAGAGCTGCCCCTGCCAGCTGCACGAGAGCAGTTCTCATGTATGTGCATCTCTGTCCTTGGCAGTATGCACATGATGCTGCTGCTGCTACCACAGTTGCCTCTGACTTACTTGGTGGGAAACCAGGGCAGGGAGGGACGGTAGCTGGACAGAAGTGAGGAGATGAGGAGGGGGACATAAGAAGTTACAAGAAGTTTCTTGATTTCCTCTTGGTTGTAGTTGGGAACTTACTGAATTTGTGGAGCTTGGTAATGACCATTCTTAGCAGTTGCTACAAATGCCTCTAAGCTCGTTCTTATCTCTCATAGTCTACTAACGCTTTGAGGCTGCGTCTAGATTGCGGGACAGGTGCTTTTTGCCATGTTTCCTGTGGTCCTGGTTCCTTGCTCGTTGTGACTGTGCTAGCTCCTGCTGAGGAGGATCATGCTGCAGCTCCTTGCTAGCCTGGCCAGGGCTGGTCGCAGCTGGGACGTGCTCCAGGAGTGAGCAGCGTGGCTCCTTCCACGGGGCTGGCAGATGTTTTCCTGGCAGGGAATGGATGGCATTGCTGTTCCTGGCTATCCAGCAGAGTATTTTTCATTTTTTTTTAATAAATGCTTTACCTTAATTGTACTTCTGTACCTGCCCTGAGTTAGGATATTAATTGTGTATATTTTTCTAAAATTATAATTCAATCTGTGCTGTTTGTCTGCTTGACTATCTGTTTGAACGGGAAAAATCCACCTGGTCAGGTCTCAAGGCATTTTGTTAAAATCAATTTGGGACAAAATACCACATCTGTGTTGAAGAATTAATACATCTGCTTCATTTTTGGAGGAGATTACATTTAGGAAGAACAATAGTCAGCTCAAACTGTAATGGAAATTACAGGTGTTTCCTTTGTCAGGACTGGGGTGTTTACCTGAGAGGCTGGAAACCCTGGGTGCAGAGGAGAAGGCTTTCCGGAGAAGGTCTGTTGGAGGAATTGATTCCTGCTTGTGCTTGCAGGTGGGGGTCAAGGACACATTTTTCTGGTTATGTGGAAGAATGGCATGTGGCGTACGCTGCCAGAAGCAGTTGTGTTGGCTGGCCTTAGTCATAGGAACTTGGCATGGAAAACTTGTCTGTCCCGCAGTGATCCACTGTGTGGAGAGGCAGTTCACGAGGCTGGCAGCAGAGCACCGTGCGAATGTCTGTGTTCCCATGGCTGACGTAGCAAGCAGCCTGCTTCATCCATGACAAATTGGAACTTCATAGCAACCTAAAAACATTTGGTTGGAACCGCTGCCAGTTTTTCAAACTGTACCTGTTAAAATTACTTCATCTGATGAGAGTGAAGATGCAAGGGTGTCCGATGCTGGTTGGTGTGATGAGCTTGTGTGCTTTTGCTTTTAAAGCCAGTGACCTTTACCAGGATGCAAACATTGGCATAAAAATGTACCCAATCAGTTCAGCTTTTGAGTACGTAAAGTGATTGCTCTGGCGTGGTGGTGGAGGATGGGGCTGGAAATCATACCCTGTGGATGTTGTGATGCTCCGTGCCGTCAGGGCTCTGCTAGCTTGTGCGAGGGCTCAGGAGCGGGCCAAGAGATAACAGCCACGGAGTGAATTGTTCTGCACCAGCATGAAGAATGGTAAGAAGAGGTACATATTTTTAAAACAAACTTGCACTTAATGGTAGAACTGTAATTAATTACCATGGGGAACTGTGTACTTCCTCAGCATTTTCTATAAGAATTCATTGCAGCCTCTTTTATTGAGGGAAAAAGTAGGTTTTGATGATTCTGTGCTTCCTGTAGGAGGATATTCAACATACTTCTGATGATATTTTAATTATCCATGTAATGCCTGGAGTATGTGGCTTCTATTTATTACATCTAGCTTTCATTTTGTAGGTAGTAGCTAGTCTACCATATATGGTAAAAACCTCCAATTTAAAAGTATTTTTGAGACATTTTGTGAAGGTGAATAGCAAGGCCAACAGTCTTCATCTTCCCAGTCATATTTTCTGTATCTTTGGAGATTGCCATCTCCAAACTTGCAGATGGTGGACTATAGTTTCTTTATCAGCGGTCAGTGACTTGCAATTAATTTTGGTGATGGTACAATCAAATTATTGTATGTTCTTTTTTTGTAGTCCCTGAACTCCATTCTGGAGATGCCAATTGGCAGAATTGTTTTCTGCAGTACAGGAGATAATATGCTATGGCTTAAGGGTCTGGCATCTGTGGCTTCTTGCGCGAGCTGGAAAAACGTGTTCCCTAGTGGAAGAAGAAATAGGAATGTCAATAATGAAAATAGTACTAGAGTTCATTAATGGAGTGTTTCTACCTAGCAGTAATCGATGAATTCGTTACGATGTATTCACAGCAAAATCATTTGTTCCTTTGGTAATTTCCTTCACCCAGGAAACTTCTCAGTCATTTGGTGGGTTTAAGCTGAGTGGTAATAAAGTTTGGCCAGGTTGATAAGTGCAGAAGAATGTTAAGTAAAGCAAATCTGCAACTTTCGTTAAAGAATGTTAGCATTTCTCCTCAGTCTTCTCTTTTTTCCAGGGGAAGCAAAACCAGTTTCTGTAACCTTCCCTTATAAGTCATGTACCCTACACCTCTAATCCCTCTAGTTGTTTTTCTTTTCTAGCCTCCTTTGGAGGAGAAGGGAATGTTGGGGGGGGGGAAACAATGTGCTATATACACTGTTCTGGTGTTCCAGCTGAGACCTCGCTGTAGCTGACCCTCCTGTGGGCCATTCTATGAAAAACAAATGTTTTGGCCTGGTTTGTGCCTCTCTGTGTTCTGTCACCCCTGCCCAGCCACTGTATTTCCCTTTTTCAGCCTTTTGAATATCTTGCATCCTCCACAAGTTCCCCATAATACAGTGGAACCTCATTAACCGGCATATTTTTGGACATTATTACCTTTCTCTTTAGTGAAATGTCACACTTCTTCAGTGGAGTGATTCCTGTGCAGGTATGTCTTTTCTCAGATACGTTACTGCTTGTTTTTTATGCGAATTCTATATTGGCATTTGTGGCACAAGCTGGTTTTAGACTCCTCTGAAGTCACCAGTGCTGGTACTGGGCACAGATTCTGTCTCTTTGGCCAACTTAAAATGTTACTAACCAAGAATTAGTTATTTGTTTATTTCAGAAAGGCTCGATCAGTATGACAGCTGCAATGAAATACATAACAGTGGCACTGAGCTGTCCCGATGGTATCTAGCTAGAGTGGTGTGACATTCGGGTATTCAAGCGAGTCGCGGAGGTGGTGCAGCTGTGTCATTGTTTGCACCTCACAGCCGTCTCGGTCTCCAGTATTACACAAGCATCTTATTTAAGCGCTCTCCAAACTTACACAAGCAGCTATAAATCATGTGAGCAGTCCCAGCATTGCCTGGCGTGCCTGCGAGTGCTCCCTGTGGTCTGTCTCCTTCCTCATAACACGTGGCGGCGAAGAGCTCATTGTATTACTGACTGCTTATCAAGATGTAGCTATCTGAGTTCTGCAGACCATCACTTAGTATGCTTTTCTGTAGCATAACCGAGTCCTTGTGAAGGCAGTAGTGCACAGTGCCGTGGAAGGCAGCACGGCAGGGTTAGAGTCCTCGCGGAACCTGTCCTCTGGAGTGTACACAGCACCCCTGTGAAGAAAACACAAAACAATACCGAGAGGCTTGAAGGGTGATAGTGAATAGCAAATTAGATGAGCCCCTAAACATTCTTCATTTATATTAATTGTTTACTTGTATTTGAAATAATTTACCAAATCTCAAGAATTACTTCTTGTCAGTTTTCTGTCAACCTATAGACAGGCTATTTCAACCTAGACCTCAACAATTCATTAGTAAGTAATCAATGCAGAGTTCTTCCCAAACTGTGCCAGTGTGCCAATTGTATCTGACAAGATGATCTCAAATAAATAAATAAAAATTGGTAAGAACACCCCCTTTTTCACAGCCTTGTCTGTGTATATAGTTTCTGCTCTTCATAGCCAAATAATGTCTCCGGGCAAGTGCAGCAATTAATTTTAGGCAAAGAAACATCAAGTGTTTAATGAATGTTAGCTTTATTTAATGCAGTTAGTTTTTGGAGAAGGAGCCTTACCTTGTTTTGTCAGACTGGTCTCACCATCGGTAAGTGCTTTGCAGACCATCGGGAGTAGATTTCATTCACCGATTCATTCGCCAGCTGTGGCTGCTGGGAGCAGTACCTCTGGCAGCGTGGGGCCAGGGAGGTAGTCTTGTCTGGGGGAAGCTCAGTGTCAAGGCCGTGGCCGTTTGGTACCCAGTGGGTGCAGCCGAAGGGCTCCAGCTGGCTTGGAGAGCTGTGAGGCTGCTCTGTGCCTGTGAGCTGGCAAAGCACCCGAGGATGGGGAAAGCAAAGGTGATTAATAGGCGATACACTGCATCGGACAAGTTGTCCATCCAGCTCAGGATCCTTCATCCATCAATGGCCAAAGCCATGTGCTCTGGAGAAGGGTTAGTGTATCACTTCCATGTCTTATCCTGTCCCTAAAGAGCGTGGTGCTCCAGTGTCATTCAGCAGAGGCTCATAACGACCTAACCACCAAGGTTAATTATCCTTTGCTCTGTCATACAATGGCAGTGTTGGATGGAGATAGGCGAGTTCTCCTTGGCCTAGAACAGAAGATATGGCCCACATACAAGAGCTGGGTATGATGGATACAAAGAGCAGCAGCTCTCTTGGGTTTAATTGAAAATAGCTATTTTAGAGCTTAATTTAAAGGAAAAAAATAATTTGGATCATGGCAGTCTTAAAACACCTGTGTATCCATTTATGAATACGTTCATCAGTTAGCCTGTGGATTAGTTCGGCGTGGGACCGCCTTTGGGAATGCATTACTGTACTGAGAGGTTTCACAAAACAGCCTTAGCATTTGCATTGCATTTAAATAATGCAAAATTGTGAACTGCAGCAGAAAAAAAGGTGACACATATAAAGAGGTTATTTTAATATCTAATTTCACTAACTTTTAAAACCTTAGCTGCTTCTAGGTTAACATGAGTGATCCTCTCCACTGAGTGAATGCAGGGGATGGAGATCAGGGAGTGGGGGGCACAGCTGGGAGGGAAAGGCCTTCGCCTTCGGTCTTCATGCACTATAGAAGTTATGTTTGTAAGGTTGAGGATTGGGGAGGGTTGGACAGGGTTGTGCTTATGCATCGTCTCTTCTTTCTGCGCTCTGCAGGTATGTGCATTTAATCATACTGCCGTCTCCAGAGGTACAGACTAATGTTTATTGTGTTGGGATTCGCGCTGATCTTCCTGGACATGGTTAATGGTCTCAGATGCAGGAGTTCTGTTTCCATCGTGGTGCTGAACTGAGCTCTGAAATACGAGTTGTTCCTGTTAATCTCTTTTAGTGTACATCTTGGGGCAGTCAACAGAGACACGGACTTTGGCATTTGAGAGTTTTCCGTTGTTATTTTCAGTTGTGAATTCCCAGTTTAAGCCAAATGAATAGTTCCTGCAGGATGGATTCATCCTAGCAAATGGTAAAAAAAAAAAAGAGTGCATTTATAAGGAATGTTTAATTAGCAATAGCTATTGATGGATGTGATATCTTTCATGTCAACACTACGTGGAATTTTAAGCTCTGAGGCTGAATGATGGAAATTAGCTGCTTAATTTAAGTATGGCTAGTTTAACTTTTTTAATTAACTCTATGACTAAAAAGAAAACATTTCTTTGAGTTCCCAGTGGAAAATTCTTTGTCCATAAATGAGAAGAGCTTCTGGCAAAGAGAGCCTGTTTAAAGATGGGAGTCCCATGCGCTTTCCTTCTTGGGTAACCGTGACCAAAACCACTTGTCCTTTTCCTTGGTGGCTGTGCTGCTGAGGATGACTCTGTTTCAAGTCAACCTTTTCTGGTATAACGTAATCATGGTTTTGTCAGCGCCAGGGGCTCTTCTCATTTATGGACAAAGAATTCGAAAGGTTGCTGCCGCTTCTTCCTGTTCCAAACTGGTCCCTGGTGACAGGAGGAGAGACACCGCGACTCCCCTGTCCCTGCGTGCTCAGGGTGAATGGGACGGTTCGTGGGTGCCGTCATCTTCTTCAAACAAGAAGGCAGAGCAGTGTTTCTCTTCATCATCACCAGTAACGCATACGTGTGTGTGCCCACATACTGCTTAACAGCGCTTTAATTCAGCCTTAGTATTTGCCGTGTTTAGAGCATCTTCAAAACCATACGTTCCTCTTTTTTTTTTTTTTCCCCCCAGCAGCAGTTTTCTGCGCCTGAGAGTTAACAAAAGAAAGTCGCGTCGGCCCCGAATGCCAGAAAATGATCAACTGCGTCCCAAGAGTAAGCGGAAGAAGAGCTAGCACTGCAGCGATGCGAAGCTTGAAACCGTGCAGAAGGCTTAACGCTGAGAAATACTTCTTAGTTTTTTCCAGTTTTCAGTGTATCTGGGTGCTTAATAAAATGCTGAGTTTTCGCGTAGCTGTCATTCAAACTGCCTTAAAATAACCGGATCGGTGTGCTGACGTGCTTTGTTTGCAGCGCTGTGGGCCGCCTAATTCTGAGATTGGGGCTTAAACTGCCGGAGTCCTGCTGGGGCCTCGAGCTGGCTCTTGTGCCGGGCGGCAGCGTGGCCGCCCGAGGACGCGGGTCTGTGCGTGGCCGCTGTTCCTGCTCGCGCCCCGCAGAAGCTTGCTCTGCCCTCTTGGAAGCAATCGCAGGACGGTGTTTTGCGTGGGGTCGGGCAGATGCTGATGCTCCGGTTACCTGGCTTAGCTGGGGGGGGAGGCGTGGGGGGAGCTGAGCTGAGGGAATTCTGTTCTACAGAAATATGCTTTTTTTTTTTTAAATATGTCCATGTAAACTTACTCATTAGTATGTGTCATTATTTCAGTTTAAAGTCATTAAATCTGAAAGAAATCGGAAGGTCGTTGGACATTAAGTATTCTAGCTTTAGAATAAAAATTAGCATTAAAAAGTCTTACCTTTCTTAGAAGATGATGGAGTTTTGTAATAAAATAAAGCAATGCAATAAAATTAAAGTAAGCCTGAATAACGGTAGGTTCCTAAAAATACAGCTTGTAAGCAAAATACATACCATGCAAAATATTCGAAGATGTTCTTGCTGAGCCCTGAAACTTTGGTCATAGCCTTTCATCAGGAACTCTGCAAAGAAAGCACGAAATCTTTTTAAGATCGAGGGTCGTGTGTCTTTTGACTTTAGACTATAGCTGTAATTGGGACTGGACATTTTGCTTTCAAAAATACTCCTCCTCAAACCATGGTAGCAGGCAGTATTTTTGTTTAGAACAGGCTAAATCTGTGGTGAATATAAACTAGTAAATCCATTGAGGTAAGTAAATGCAGAGGAAAAACAGGAAGCTGATTTTTGTTTGTTTGTTTTTTACTAAAAGTAAACCTTTTGAAAGAGTAATTATTGACTTCTGCTTTTAGCTCTGCCTTTTAATTATAGCAGTTGATACAAGACACATTTAAATTTTGTGTAGTTAGCCAGAGAAGAATAAAAATGTTTGCGTGCATAATGGTCAATGTGTCTGAAATTCATGTGGATTGGCTTACATCAGCTGTTGAGCATCCCTTGGAGGTTTTTATTGTTACGTTTTAATTATATTTGAGTTAGCAGCACTTCATTTTCTTTAGTATGGTAATGATGTCCACTGTCATACACAGAAAATAGTCTCAAAAAGCTCTGTCAGTACTGTTGGAACATAAAACACGAGGTCTAGCTGTAAAGAGGAGCAGTGGCTGTGCCTCCATTAGAACGGGAGGCGGTGCCCTCTCTGTTCTGCTCCGCTTACCCCCCTTGTGTTGGTGCGCTGTGGCTGGGGGCGAGTCACAAGCCCTCCTTCTGCGGGCAGCGGCAGCTCTCGGCAGTCGCAGAGCTGCTGCCTTTGGTTTTAGAGCCCAGTTGGGGGTTTAAGCTGGGGGGGCTGTAAGGCTGGGAGCCCTCGACGCGCTGACTGGCTGCACGATGGCCAACTTGCCAAAGGTCAGCCTGGGAATTGTAGTCCAGGGGCCGTGTACTGCGTGGGGTCCTTGGCTCTGCTGGATCGGCAGGAAAATGAGGATCCTGCAACACTTAACTACCTGGGAGCTTTCCTTTTTAATATAGTGAACGGGCTATAAATGTGCCGTATCAAGAGCAGATACTTCTTGTGTAGTACTTGGTGCTGCTTGCGGAGTTAAATTTGTAGTTAATGACAATAACTACTGATGTGGCATGAAAACATATTTCAATACCCAATGAGGAGAAATAGTCTAATTTATTAAGTATGGGCTAGAAAGTACTTAGAAAAAATCAATGTAGGAGGTGAATAAAACCATACGAAATGTGAAGTACACGTTCTGTCTGTACTAGTGCTGGAAAGGCTGGTGCAAGCCCTCGTGAGCGTTGTCCCGGGTGGCTGGAGGCTGGCAGGAGGTTCTGTAACTGTCCAGAGCAGAGCAAGGTGGGAAACTGCTCTGGGGGTCCCGGACGGCAGCGGCACCGTCCTGACTGTCATGGTGACCTCAGAACACGTCCCCTGATGCTTGAAGAATGCAAGAGAAAGTGTTAACCCTGAAGCTATTCTTAACGTATAAAAAGTCATAAGCTTTGGAAATGACTGTTTTCCTTCCGTTCATTCAATCAAATCATTATTTCTCCAAGCAGAAAGCCAGAGCTCTCTGCACTTCGAAGGATTCCCTTCCTGTCAGCCTGGGCAGAGTGTGAGGAGACATTAACCTTCCTAACAATGTTTTAATCTTTTGCAAATGTTTTGAATGTAAACCCTTCTGTTGTGATTTGCAGTGAACCACCAAGTGACCTCTTCTCTTGGATCTGTGGCGGGCCTTCCCCAAAGAGCTGTTTTCGGTTAAAATAAAACACAAAATGTTTATTTCTTATGTGCATCTACTTGTTTTCTGCAAATATAAGCCTCAGATGTTTGGTTTTTTTTAATATTGATTTTGGCATTTAAAGCTGCCCTTGCTTGCGTCGTCAGCGTGGCCGTTCAGCTGGTGCCTGCGGTGTGCTGCGCGGTGCTGGATGCCAGATCTGAAAAGCGTGGCTGCCGGCTGCGTACCAGGCTGTTGCCCATCGCCGCTGGGGGCACACAGAGATGGGGTGGCGCAAACCCCTGCGCCTTTGGTTTCGCTGCCATAGGTCACGCTGGCTTCAGCGTGGGCCGCGGCAGCGGCTGAGCCGGGCAGCCCTGTTGGTAGCTGCTTCTCTGGAGTGGGAACGTGCTCTGGGCTGTGCTGAACAGATGCGTGGGGGTCGAGCTACGGGGAATCTGAGGAAATCATTCCCAAGGCTGTGTTGGCTGTACTGGTTTTATAATTTATTTTTCTTGTATTTGTTATCGTGTAATTAAGTGTAATTGAGTCGAGTGCAATGCTCCTGCCCCGTCCTCCTGCAAGGTGCAGTGACTCTCCTCCACGCTGCAGATTGGGAAGGACAAGTAGAAAGGAGGAATTCAGAGGATGCACCCTCTCCTTTACTAGAAGAGCAAAGTCTTGAGGGGACAAATAACACCAAGCACAAACCACGGCCCTTTCATCCCCACAACTGTCTCAGACCTTCATGTGAAAAGGAAGCCAAGTCGCCAAGGGACCAAGGGCTCCGCAGGCACGGGCAGGATTTTGGAAAGGGTTTAGCGCTGGCTTTGCTGTTCTTTGGGAGCAGCATGGGAACAGAGGTGTTTGAGTGTACAGCGCTCTGCCTTCTGGAGAAGCTACAGCAGAACCTCTGGTGATACTGGAAACGCGGTGAGTTGGGGTGGGAGCGGGCTGAGGGGGCTGGAGAGGGTTGGAGCAGATCCCGACCCCTCTGCTCCTGCACAGTGAGGGAAGCCCGGCTGGGATTTCCATCCCGTCTTTGAGAGCTGCGTGGTTTAATAAATTGAATGAAACTAATCCATCCAATCTCCTGCTTGCAGTAAGCACAATTTAATTAAGATTTCACTTTCTTTTTCTTTAACCATTTCATTTGTCATAACTCATTATTCAGGCAGAATGCTGTAAGGCAATACTCCTTTCCCTAAGAAAACTTCTTAACTTTCCAGTGTAGGCAGCTTTAAATCAATTAATTTAATGATCACATAAAATACAATATCAGATATAAATTCCAGGATATTAACTTTAATGTGTGAAAGAGTCCATTGTAAGTACATCATCCTGCAAGTCTGATTTTATTTTTATTTCTTCTCCTCTGTGAATTCTGTTATTTTAGGTGCGTGTTAGGATTGTAAAGGAACGAGGACCATTTCTGGGCGTCTGCTGACCCACCCACCACAAAACCAAACCATTTTTTTGTCTCGAGTTAACGCCTCCTGGTTTGCATTTACAGCTGACATCTGCTAGTTAGTGCGGCACGTCTTGGTCTCCCTTTGCAGTTCATAAAGCACCTTCTGGCAAAGGAGGAGCTGGGTTGCAACGCGGCTGAAATGCCAGCTTGCGAACACTGAAAATGAGACTAGAACGTGCTGCCACCGTTTCCTTTGGAAAGGGGGCTGCTGCGATTTTGGGTTTGGATCAGCCTGATAAAGAGTTGAACCAAGCGCGGAGCCGTTCCAGGGCCGTCGCTTCAGGCGCGCGATGGCGTGGAGGGTGGCTGCAGCCCCGTGCCGCCGGTCCCGGCTGCTGTAGCTGCGTCGGCCGGTTTTACATCCACAACGTACAGCGGTGCTGGCTGTTCACGCAGTTGTGTGTCCAGGATGACAGCGGGTAATGGGGTACTGAGGTGCAATAACCTGATTATTGTTCGGGTTTAGTGAGCTCCCAAATACTCCCTTGTTGGTGTGTTTACTGTTCCGCTTGCAAAAAGCCATTATTCGTTTCAGGCTGTGGTTTAGTAAACTACAGCCTGTGTTTGCACTGTATATTTGGACTGATGCAGAACCAAATTTAGCCACATTGTATTTTCTGAAAGGTGACCTTTCCATGCATCTATTAGAAAATGCTTGGGTTTTTGCTGGGATTTTTTGTGCCTGCTAGAACACAGCTCAGAAAAAGGAAACCTTGAAACCCAGCCTTCTTCCAAACCAGCTCAAAAGGTGCATTTAAAGAAAAAAAGAAAAAAAAAAAAGCCTGACATATTTCTCAAAGTTTGACTTTTCTAATAACGCCCTGAAGGTTTTGGAACCTAAATGCCAGCCACGATAACAGACAGTATAGGCAGGAACACCCTTAAATATACCCCCCACTCGGGCACACGCCCCAGCACCGCTATCAGCTGTCTGCTTTCTGGCAGAGATCGTCAGGCCTGAGGGACGGGGACGGGGACGGGAGGGCGGCCGCGTGGCTGCCGTGTCTTGCCCGTGCACGTTGCTCTGCAAGGCATCGCGCTCGTGCCCTGCGGTGGGCACGGAGAGCAGCCCTGCTCCTCTCTTGTGGAAACGCTGAACCTCCTCAGGCTCTTGGGAAACCTCTCCCTGATGTCAGCGGCTTCTCTGAAAACATCTGGGAGCATCACTTATCAT